GATTGCCAACGTTAGTTCGGTCCCTGCATCAACGAGGTCTGCTGTCCTCGTTCCTCAACAAATTTGTTCACAAAAATCATTTTCAACTTCGTTTCCTCTCTTCATTCGATTTCGTAACAAAATTGACATTGTTTGACTCCCTTTCCCCCACTTCAGTGAATTTCGTAAAATAATTGTCATTTTTTGACACCGTTTTCTCTCTTTATACAATTCCGTAATACAAATTGACATTGTTATGCTCCATTTTGCTCTCAATTTTGAGACAAATATCTTTTAACCCCTCAAGTGCAGTTCAAACCTTTAAACGCTCTAGTGTAAGGTTTACAAAATTAGAAAAATGTAATTTTAATTGTATTATACATAACTATATATGGTATAATGGAGAGAAAATAATAAGACTTCGTACTTTTTCCACGAAAAATGACATAAACACACCCCATTTTTGTGCGTATGTTAATGTGGTTTATGGGGTATGTATATGTCATTTTTCATGCGTATTTAGTCAGTCAATTTCTTTTCTGCCCGTCCACTAAAATTTAATAACGATCTCCTATAGTGAGAGCGTAACCTCCAAAATAACCCACATGCATCTCCAGTAATTCTTGAATGACCCGTATTCTTCTCTACTGCGTATTTCGACCTTACATCACCCTAGTTTGGGTTCGTAGGATTCCGCGACCGGAGTCAATGCATTCTTGGCTATCCGGGATGAGCCGCGTCTCGGTCAATTGTGCTGATGTTTCGGCCATTTTGCTGTGGCTTTCTTCAGAGCTATACTGCTGCCAAGAGGTTGGCATGTCTCATCTTATAGGAAAGTCGCGTCGGCCGACTGGGTGCATCGGCGGCCAATAGGAGGAGGGCGGGTGTCTCGTGATTGGCGGAGAAGGAAAAGGGCGATGGCGGGTGACCAGATAGTAGCACGTCAGCACAATAGACCGAGACGCGGCTCATTCCGGATAGCCAAGAATGCATCACCCTAGTTTATTTATTTATGTGATCAATTATATTATCTAATTTTTGCCAAATAAAATTGTGAGGATGAGTTGGTATATGTCATATTGAACTGACTTGCTTTTATTTCGCAATCGTTTGCAAACTAATGCTGGGTTTTTGGTACTCCACATTATTTTGTCATTCTGCTAATTAGAAAGTAATTGATCTTGCATGAACTCGTGAACATTGCACTTCATCTCTTAAAAAATATTTGTTACATTAGTGGTAATTATTCAATAAAATGTTCGGGTATTGCGAGTTTAATTGTGTGCTCGTCTTATAAATTAAAAGCGGGAGCCCTTCATGATTAGGTAATTGTGGCTTCTCCGTTTACATCTGGCATTCTTCTCTCACAGTAATACGCACGTATTCT